TGCATTGTTTACCCAACAGATCAGCTTTTTTTCTGCAGAAAAAGATAGACTTTCCGTACGAACTACTTCATAATTTAACACTTTATTTACAATACAGGCCTCGATAGTCCTCCCGAGCCATTGCTTTCCAATAGCACACATCCACAGGATAACTTCTTTACTAAAAAATCATTAATCACAATCGACTAGCATCAATTGAGATCTTTCAGATAAAATCGATATCTCCCAGATCAGAACAAACAGTGGCGACGGCAGCATGAGAACCCGCAATGGTAGCGCAACTACTGGTCGAAACTTCGATAGCATTTCACGATATGCTGATAGATATGTGACTTTTCGCAAAGAGACGGTCGAACGCTCTGCCATAAGAATCAAAGGAGAAAGAATCAAGTTAACATTAGAACTGCCTTGATGGCAGAGGCACTGCACAGAGTTACACCTACATAGGTAGATACGTGCCTCTCAATTTAGAAGCAAGTTAGCGAGCAATGACAGCTGCGAAAAACTTGCCAGGGTCAACTGCGAAGACAAACATAAGGAAAATGTTCTCTCGATAGCAACTATTCAGACCAATTGATCAGGCCAATAGAGTTATATCGATAACACCACCACTGCTTCCGAGAGCAGCAGGCAGTAACGAGTCCGGCTGAATCTCCCTCATGCGAGCTTGCGAAACACGTACAGAATCAAGTGGCCATAATATAATATATGTTTTTTTTGGCTTCTCGCAGCAGTTTAATGTATAGCATCTGTCGGTAATGTTAGTCAACAGTAGGTCTTCCACTAAGGTATTCGAAACTCAGACACTTGGAGGGAAACTCCTAACAACGCAAATCAATATTGGCCGTAATGTGTGATTTGCCATATTGCTATCAACTGATACAAATATTCAATATCGCCGTGTTTATTCATAGGTACAAGCACAGTGATCCGGCCTGAAGGCCTGCTTACTAACGTCCATTGATATGACTCAGCCTTTCTCGAACTGCTATCTGAGCGAAACGAACGTTTGCAAAGTTCTACTATACACGAAATATAGCGGAGCGTCATTGTATGATACGTTCGCCGGCTTCGAAACAAACCAAAGCATGAAATTGACTTCAGCAGTGGCAGCAGTCAACGAGCAGCCTAACAGTAGTGATTCGTTTCCGTTTCGTGAGAACGTCTCATTCGTCATTTATGTCCGTGGTAGGGCGATGATTCAGCAGGGTTGCTAAGAAACATATATACAAGTATATCTCAAGTCGAATATCCCGCCCTTTGGATTATCTGTTACCCTAACCATTTTCGTCTATTTTAATAATCTATGCAGATTTTAGCCATGATTTTTCTACACCGGGATCCGTAAATAGCTCGACTGTGTGTACGTGAGCAACTAACTACACATTGTTCCTCAAACGGCTTATCGAACTGCTTCTATAGGGGATTGGGCTGTCGTTAATATAGTTTAGTTTATCTGTCGAGCCGGAAAGCTTGTAGATTCTCCCCGCCCCCGAAGCGGTAAAGACGGTGAAGCTATTGAAGCTAATACCGCACACATAATTGAGTTCGTTAAAAACCCAGTAGTTATAATATAACGCTTGCAATACGTTTGACAACTGCATTATAGACTGGATGTCCCTCACGGCTACAGAGGAAGGTTGAATTTGCCTATTATATATATATATATATATAAATCGTAGCTAACGTTTAAGTGGGAGGAAATACGGAAAAATATTGCAACAAGGAGCGGAGGGCACGCTATTTAAATGTTTCTGATAGATTTTTTTGGCTTACCCATTGCTATTCCGAAATAGCGCGGCATCCTTTGAATAATCGGTGCGTGAAACAATTAAGATTTATGAAGCTTTTTATCGCGATTGCGGTTACCAATACAATTCCTAATAGTTGCAACATCTCTATTTTTAGGAAGCGTAAGCTTACCTTTAGTTTTTATGACGGACAACAACAAAGATAAGGGTTATGCTGACTGATTCAATAAGCCTTTCGTATATTGTTGGCGCTGTTTTCTCTATTCAATAAAGATGTTCCGTTCGATTCCTCATGCACTGAATAGACTTCAAAAGCACGGAATTGCAAATCGGAAACGATGATAAGCTCCCACACATGTAACTGCATTACATATTAAGACAGGGAGGGAATCAGTGAAGGACTGTGATCTAAATAAAGCGAGAAAAACAGTTTCATGTAATGCTGGATCTTGTTCGCACCCTTGCAACTGGAACTTTCTCGGCCAGAGCGGAAACAGCTTTAAGGTCACCTGCTACCTACGACGGCCTGCCTGCTCCTACAGGTACTTGCTGTGTAGGCCGCTCAACGACACAGTATTGTGTTACAGCTTCATTCACTGTATAATAATGAGGTTCATTAATTCGATTATTCTTCGAAGGGGCAAAAAAACTTCATTCAATAATATTATCGGAAATGGTTGAAAATAGGGATAAATAAGGGTTACTTGTTGATTGTGTCTCGTTCGTGGGTATGCAGTTGTTCGTTCAGCACACAGATAACATTGGGGATCTGTGCACAGGTAAAAATCTGCCGCCAGCTTGAACGAGAAGCTGAAGGCAAGTATATTAAGTAGCGCGTTTCGAGTGCGACAGGTACTTGAACAGTGGCGTTTTAGTTGCAGATACGATGCCAATGAAATTCGCTAGTCATAACTGAAGTTCTCTCATTGTCAGAGGTACTCTATGAACGAATCGTAAGAGGACTAATCGCTGCGCTACAGCCCATCGGCCATTACAACGTAATGTGTATACATATGTATAAATGGCGAAAGTTTGATGCATTTTTATGTTAGAAAGAGGCGTTTCTTTCGAGAAGGAGATAAATGATGGCCGACACTTCGGACTTCTACACCTGCGTCAGAGGATGTATTGTCATTAATTTGTTCTGATGATGATAGGGTGTGCCACTGTTCGAGCGTCGTTCCTTTTTCTTTTCTATTAGTAGACATGCCTCTATGTTTATATGCTCATTCTAATGTTAACTCAGATCAATGAGCCGACTTTGAAATAAGTGTAGTCTGCTTTTGTGATTTGTTTGATAACTGCTGATTAACCGTTATTACATCGTAGAGTATTCATAGAAACTTACTTCTTAAGCATTGAAAGTTATGATTACACGCTATTTCGAACACTGCACAGAACACCAACGACCTACGAGATGAAACGATCGCCTCGATTATCCATCTAGACAGATGATAGCATTTAACTTGAAAAAATTAAATCAAGAAAAAGTTGAACTTCGCTCTAGCCGTTAGTATATCACGAACGAATGAAGCCAGGGGCATTGGAAGATGTCACGCAGGAACTTGTCTTTGGTTGTGATCGTGTTGACACCACTGCGTTCGTCACTGCAACATATTAAGCGCGGTTTTATATGAGGGCGCGCAGGATATAGGTGCACAGGACGTTCGAGCGCCACTCCCGTTTGACAACGCTAATCTCTCACTGAGAATCAATACGGAAATTAGACGTTGTTAATATTTTCTCTATGATGGCCAGCAATTATGCCTCTGTTTTCGGGAATTCATTATATAGAAAACTAGTAGCGCATATTTGTTTTTTTTGTTTTTTTCTAATTTTGTATCTGAACTTTTCGTTAATTTTTTTTTAATCATTTTTATATGGCGTGTTACGTTTCAGTACCTTAACTGTCTAGAGACCCTAGAGGCGCGTAGAATGATGTTTACTACGTCCAGCATATTGTTGTTGCAATACGAGAACAATTATAAGCCGCTGCCATGCTTATCATTACATTTGACAGGTGAATTGATACATACAACATAACGCGTTTCACAGATGACTCGATACCCTTCAGCATCTGCTAGGCACCCTGCTTTGCATACGGCCCGCTTTGCTTTACTTGTCATTTTCGGAAACAGTCTCAAAGAGTCCTCGTATCGTTTCATAAACAAAGAAAAAAGTTGGCTTACAGAGGAGGGTCAGAGGAGAGGAGAGGCGAAAATATCAGCCGTCCTTTGGCGTACTAAAAGCCTGGTATATAGATACAGCGTGTACACTCGGACAGCATCTCTTCGTTGACAGTTCGCTTACGAGAGCGATTCAAGTGGAACAGAATAGGAAATAGCGGCCGCTCGTTTTTTATTAGAGAGACACAGTGTGACTGACAAATAGACAAGGGACAGATAGACATGCGGTGTTCAGGGTGTTCCTTCTTTTTTCGATCCTCACTTAATTCCTACATCTGCGCAGGTCGCTGTTCAACTCTGTTGCAATACGGCTTCGTATACCAGTAGCACCCATGCGTACTGTTCTATCCGTACATACAAAGATAGACACACATACGAGCATTCGGCTGCCGCCCGAAGCCTGTAGAGAGAACAAAGCAGACAGAACCGCCGGGCGTGATGCTCACTGCTGTGTAAACGATCACTGAAGAACTGGTTGGGATCGTTGGGCACGCATGCAAGCCAATGTTGACTTCAGCGGTGTCCTATATAGATACACCAATAGAAAATGTGCTTGGTTCTCCTACTTCCGTCTGTCCTTGTCATCCGTACTCCAAATGTATCCAGTCATTCGTTCGACATCGCATCCTATACGCAGCATTGCAGAGTTGGGCAGATAGATGGGACTAGCGAAATACGGGGCCATAGGGGGAGAATTCAGAGAATGACAGAGAGAAAAACTCTCGTCGGCGGGTGCGGGGGCTGGAAACGATGTTTATTGTCTGATTTGAGGGCCCCCCTGAGACTTCGTTTGAAAGGCGGCACGAGGAACAGCGGACGGCGGACAGTGATGTGGTGGTGCAGCCAAATAAATGGAAACCCTCTTCATCCCCCCCCCCCCCCCGTTGTCTGCTCTACCACACTGCTAGAGTGCACTCGATAAAATGGAGCCCAATTACGCATTTTACTATGTTTGTTTGTCAAGTAATTATGTTTATACGATACACTGTTGTTATTACGTTCGTGTTAATAAACCATGCAAAAAATTCGGCCCATTTAGACATACTCCTAAAATAAAATAATGAGACTAATTACTTTTTGAACGAAAACCCAGCCTTGTACTGCGCCGCGGAAGATCCGGACCTTACACGAATGCTCTAGGGCTAATCAAACTCAGACTAGTGGTCTAGCTAAAAAAAGATCATTCTTTGCGAGTACCTTCTATTCATGTATCACCAAGCAAGATCCTAGTACTACGGTTCAAAAAAAATGCGACCTTACATCAGAAAATTATAACATGATCCATGTTATAGTATCGCATTGTATTGATTCTCGCGTCTTTGTATTTAAAGCACTATTCTAAGAGAGTCTATTTTCAAGGATACTTGAAATGCCGCTTCGACATTGCCTTGGCAAAAATGCCCCTTACCTAAATCTGTCCGAACACTGCTTCCCCATAAAGTAGGACAAAGGTCATATCCCCACATGTAGATGTTTTCAATCTGGTCAACAACAGTCCTATCTAAAAACGTTTTCCCCTGAGAAATAAGGGAACCTCCGTGAAATAGTCTTTTTGAACGAAATTGAGATTTATATTTTTTTCTTTCAGTACTGTTTTACACGTACCTGTCCGCCGCTGTTCCGTACGGTGTCGTTGCATACGCTGCGGCCAGACTACTTACTGCCGAATGATCATATGGGTGATGTGAACAGGGATGTGGATGTGGTCCGGCTGTTGCAGGCGGTATCACTCCCCCACAACCCGCGGGGTTCGTCCACGCTCCCATGCCGACGCCAGGCGGACAGCCACTGTATAAGCCTGCGGCCGCAGCTGCTGCAGCCCCCATTCCGGGAGGCATTGCTGCCCCAGCAGTAGGCATGGACACACCCCTTACCACCTCGGGATAGCAGCCACTGCCGTCGGATCCCCCGCCGCCACAACTGCCTCCCCCATAAAGACCGTTCATCTGAAATTTCGTACGCGGATCAGCGATGACGCGAGTTTCAGAATTAGATAGACATCAGTCATTGTATTTAGTGACTGAGCCTTTAAAGCATGCCTGGAAATGTAGCTTCGTCTCCAACGGCATAATTTGCGCTACAACTAATCGACTTCAATAAAAAAAAAACAGGTGCAAACATTTCTTTTAAATAAAGCATATGATTCATTTAGAAAAGCTCACGTCTAACACCTAGTAACCATTATAGTTGAACTTAGTAGCATAAGCAAACGTTGCTGTGGAACATTGGTTCTTTTATGAAAATACACCTTTGCTGATACGGTCTGTAAGCTAAACGTGACAGGAGCTGGAAGGTAAAGTGGGAACTCTTCCCGTGGCCTTGAAACCTGTCCAGAATACGAATTTCTCTTATGCAAGGCTTCAAAATGTGATCGGTTCTGGGATAGTTCGGATTTCTCTCGTAACACTTTGTTACCTTGAACACTTCGAGCAGAGCACGATTCGGACATCTTGTTCTAGGGTGCTATATGTATATATGGCGATGACTGTGGAGATAGTTGTCGTAATCTATTCTTGCCCGTTTGTCCAGTTAACTTACAGCGGACGCGGCGGTAACTGCCGATCGATGCGTTGGATGATAAAGGGAGCCGGCAACTGGACTGAAACTGCCACTACCCCCCTGATGAAGATGCGCCACCTCATACGGAGACCCCAATGGGCTGGAAGACGCCCCCCCACTCGCAGGGTTAGTCGTACTACCTTCACCGCCGGAATCCGCAGGAACACACCGAGATAAGGTTGGAGGGGGTGGAGGCGATCCTGTTGAGCCAGCGGGTGACGATGAACACGACGCCGCTCTGCCTCGAATGTGCAATGAATTTGCCTAAAACGTAAGATAACTGCTGGTTAGCCGAAATGATTTGACCCAACAAGCGTTGTCATGAAGGTCTTCTATCATGCGTGACAAACAATATGCTAACATTTACAGTCTGTTCTAACGAGCTAATATACAAAAGCACGGAAAGCTTATACACACTGCACCCTACTTTCTCCTGTGAATCCGAATGAAAAGGTGCACTTGGTCATAGAATAGCTTACATAAGAACCGTAGCTTTCAGATAACAACATCTAAAAGCAGCGGGTAATCTCGATTTACTGCCTGACGTGTTCTTATGGGCTGAGGCTTCAACAAGATTTTCCCGACAACAAAAAAAAGACTTTGAAACGCCGTCGTGCGGCCACATTTCTAATTGGCACAGGTTAGGAACCTATAATCTATAGAATAATAATATGGAGTTGATGATGAGAACGACAGGCGCTGTGAGTAAAAGAGACGACGAAATGACGAGCTGTGGCGGGTCACATAACGCTCTAACATAGGCCACCACGCCAGCCACAACCACTGTTACGGATTAGGCACCAGTAATGCCGACCATTTCTCGGTGGGCGACAGCCGCTCCATCAATAAAACTCATCGCGTAGCTCCTAATCACTGCTCGAGAGGGCGGGTTGAAGTCCAAGGGATGTCCGCTAGATAATTTCGACGTGACCGCTATCGTGAACGCACTATGATTTCACATAGATCAGAATTTCACGTTTATGCGGCCTAACAGTGCAGGCCATTTCCCTACGTTTGAGTTATTCTGGCTGGCAATGAAGGTTATGGTGACGAGTACATTTTTTTGGGGTCACATCTGTATGAGGTCGCCAACGTTATTGACGATTCACGTGGAGTATGGCATGCGGCCTGAACATGTTGAGGGGCGAAATGCATAGTTTTTGCTGTTAATAACTCATTATTTAGTCTGACACACAACGGAGTGCGGCTCGATGGAAAAACATGATTTCTATACGCGCCATGGTATTTAGTTACCAAGTTTTGATCTTGGTAGGGGCATCTTCTTGGAATTACTGGCAACATTGATCTACCTGATTTCGAAACTTCTTGTTCTGTGCCATGTTCAGTCATCGTTTTAACACAAACATTTTAAATTGGATTGCTCAAAAATTAGGTCTACATTACACGATGCAATAACACTTAGTAAATTAGTGCATCTTTTTTTCGGCCTGTAGTTTTTTTTTACCGTTTTTACAATGTCTCGCCAAGACACGGTGCTACGGTAGCTAGTTGTGTGAATTTTCAGGAACAAATTTATTTAAAAATCGATTCAAGCCTTGGGAGGTTCGGCGGAATGGATGCAAAAACGTGTCGCTATTTGTTGCAGACGTGTCCATCACATGTTACCGAAAGACAAAGACAGAATAACTGCGAAAATGTTCCGTTCGACGGCGGACTGCTCGGTAAAACCTAGCCCTGAGTGTTGCATTAAAACTACTGATTATAAGAGCTTGACGAAAAGTCCATATAAATTTTTGTACCGGTGTAAAGCTGATTATTTCTAGGAGATCTATTTACATCTTCGTGAGATAGACGATGATGAAAGTGTTTTAATTCAACCAACCAACCAACAAACAAACAAACAAACAAACAAAGATATCATCATCCTAGTTTCGCGGTCTCTGCTCTCCCAGCGTTTATGAACGTCTAACGAGAAACGCATCGAACACCTCTTAGAGTGCAGTTTAGCAAAAAAAAAAACAGGTCCTTGCCACCGATGTTAAGCGGATGTATACCGCTATGATAAATTTAAGCATTATCGTAGATCCGCCAAAGCCAGAATGGCCAAAAAAAGGCTTCAAAATGGCCAGAAAAACAAAAAAATAAGGCAGTACAGCGTTCATACCATTAGATTAGAATCATAAAAGCAACATTTTGTTGGGCTATCGGGACGTTATGAAATACTCTAGCTCCTGAGCGAATTCACACGGCTGTAGGTTGTATCTCTGGCTCGTGCCAGCCCACGGATTATTTAATTGTCCAGATCTGATACAATGAACATCTTACAATAGGGCTTATCACGGAGCGCCGTTCAAGTCGACGGACGACCGCTGCCGATGGCAATGACAAATAAGAAGTAATGCTTAACTAGTTTTCTAGACAACCCGCAGCGTGGAACTATCTGACACTGGTAATTTCGTAGAAGACTTCTCGGACGTCCAACGATAGGTGTGGCTTTGATAAGACAGTCTGCGAATGTCTAGGAAAGATCGCACAACGTCAGAAGAGTACGATTCCCGTAAAGTCAGCATCATCTATATCATTAAGGGAATAGCCAGTAATATATACGATTTGACTAATTGCGTAAATATATAAAGATAACGTTAATTATTTTTAGCTTTCAGCTCAGACAGTCACCGAAAATTTGCATTGGAGAAATCGTAACTAACAACCTCATGGAGCAAGTGCTCTTAATAACATTGTAATAGAATAAGATGAAAAACTTTGCTTTGAATCGGGCGTGATTTTGCCTTCCAGTTAAAGGACAATCTACCACTTAGATGATTGTAACGCTTTGGAATGGGCTAATACTATAAAGTGTTGAGAGCCTATGCTGGCCTGTGAGCCCTGAGTTAGCTAACAAAGCCTGTAGAAGACTCAAGGTCAGTTTATGATAAGAGTTTTCGTCCGTAATTTTGCCATTCGAGTTGTCCGCCCATCGCAGAAGCGGTACGCCTGGCCATAATTTATCTTCACGTAGCACTTCGTCAAACGTTACTTACCCGCAATGCTCGCATATGAACGTATGAAGCCAGCCAAAAGACCTCGTAACTGTTACTATTGACGTCAGCATTGTTCAGTATTGAAGTGTATTCAATATTTGGTGTTGTCACTTTGTTGTGTAATTGCAAACTGCCATAGCGATGTAATGGAGATATTCATACGGATTGCGACTCGCATCGGTGGGGGCCAGCTAGGCACGAGAGCCTATTTTGGAACAGCGCGTTGACATGGATCCGGGAATGGGGCCGTTGTTTCATACCGTAGCGGGCCTATGCAACTGTTGACACTTTTGCTATGAGTTTTACTTAGTGCAGCGACAAGCGAGCAAAAAAACGGTGCTCGCCATTGTGAAGGCTTCCTGCGGCCGGAGAACGGACCACAAGCTACAGAAATAGCAAACAGAGATTCCACAATCTATATTCGACAGGGTCAAAGCAACGCGACTGGTACGCGGCGCCAGAGAAAAGAGCGACAGCAAATGAAAAAAAAAAGCAGATCGTTCTCTTAAATTTGTAGAAAACTGCCAATTTGGAGTCAGGCAATGTAAATGATATAGTAGATCGCGAAAGAGACGAGAAGGGCAGGGATAGCCATGGCAACGTTAACAGCGCCTATTATTAACGAACCAAATGTGATCATGGTAATAATAATAAGAGTAAATTGTGTGAAAACAAATTTTAGAACGTGCAGTCTTCAGCAGTAGGAGCGACCACGTAAATGACAACACAGATCATTTGCTCTTAAGATATCCGTCGATCCGGTCTCTTAGGTATACATTTTAGGAAATCTGTTAGAACTGGTGTTGAAGTTTCGCCGGTCAAATCAAGATTTCGAATCTATCATATAAACTTATTTCTACACATTTGGAAGTTCAGCTATAAAGCTTGATTACAATTACGTAATTGATCGACTGTCAATACGCGTTGCGGATACAAGTTGTGTCCGAACATAAGGCATCTGCTATGGTGAGTTTGTTCGGGGACCGCAACAGCTTGGCGCATCGCATCGAGCGATCTAGAATGCTCACATAGCGGATTCATATTTTTTCCACTTCTCTAAAAGAACAGACAATAAAAACGGTTAAACTTAACGCGCATTGCCTCCCGTGTTACGCCATTATATCTGTTTGAAATGTTAACCAAACAGACGTGTAATATATGAGTACATCAAAAAACGTTTTGATAGCGGCCTGTATTAACAGCGATATCCGTCTTTGGTGATGGCGGAACCGCTCTACTTTTACGGAGAACTTAATCGATCGCGTTCTATTCACGCCAGCGTATTACTGTATATCTGCGATCGTTTCATAGCGTCATCTAAAAGAGGATGTACCTTTACAACCTGTCTCAGGCCAACAGTTTGACGGCACTTTTCCTGCCATTCTCTCCGGGTCTCCTTTGAACCTCTCATCGACTGCAGCATTCTCGTCAGGTTGAGCTAAACCTGGTGAGCCTGGCGCATGTGATTTATGCTCTCTGTTAATGAGTTGAGGTGAATGAGGCGATGACGTCTGCTGTCACCGTCTGCCGGCCAACGGACCAACAAGCGATGTCGATGTCACGATACGTTAAAATGCGTAGGGAGGGAATTTGCTACCTTCACCCCTCCATCCCCAAAAAATTCTGCTGGTTATTAGAGCTGGAGAAGCTTGCGCGCGAATGCTCTTCACAATGAAACGCGAGCCCTTTATGACAGGATGAGATGAGACCACATTAGCCATAGCCTGCTTCTGAGATTGGCCTGGTTACAGTGTCCTACTGGTTGTCCTGGCAGAAGTGATCTGCGCGAAGCAGACTGTTTGAGAGCGAGCAACCTTAATCCAAGCAGCTGAACCAACGTGTTAGCTCGGTCGGCAAATGCTACTAAATTGTCTTGACGGCCAACTGAGCCGCACGTATAGGCAGTCGTTGAAACGTTTATCTAAATGATACACCATTGTTCCGGTATATATACACCCATGACATATGTAAATGTTGGCTGTTTCACAAAATGAGTGCAGACCAGTATTAGCCCAGCAGGGTGAAAGCATGACTTCGTCAAATAATTGGATGTAGGACTTCATTTAACTGGGCCTGAACACTCAACACACACCAATGCTAATGCGCAATACAAATAAGTAAAAGCAATTCATTGAACTTAATCAACAACGATACTTTATTGCAGTGGGCGAATTGCGTATCAGAAAAATCAGAGACGTTTTCTTTCCAGCAACTTTCGATGCGTAGCGTCATGACAGCGTTTTCGCAGCGTCATCAAAGATC